GGTTCCCTTAATCTCTCTCGATATCCCTTAATCGTCGTATTGCCTTCCAGTCTAATTTAATCCACACCTTCCACTATAACCCTTCAATCCCTTAATCTTTCAATATCCTTACAAAACACAAGATACCACTAATATCCTTTTGAAAGTACCGTTCATATCCCTCGATAACTATCCGAGTCCGGTAAAAAAGGATAAAACCTAAATGGAGATTAAAGCATAAATGTAGGACGGATAGGAAATGAATTTTATAGTTTCCCGTTTTATAACCGAGGCGAAAATTTAGGGAATTTTTATTTGTCTATAAAGCAAAATTCACCTAAAAATGGGGAATTTTATGGGAAGCATACTTCTAAAAACTGAAAATTTTTTGGATAGGGAATGAGTTTTGGCACAGGTTTGGGCGCATTTTTAATTAATACCTATAGATGAACATTTTTAAAAATATTTTTGTTTTACAGTAGCTAAAGATAAAGCTAAAAAGCAATTACGTTATATTATGGATAAGGAAAATATAAAAGGATATGCGCCTGGGAAAACAGGGTATGCTGGAGAATTTATTAATACTGAAGAGCAACAATATACAAATTATGTTCAAGCACATTTAGAATTAAAGGTGTTAAATTAATGTAACTTTTATGTAGCAATGTTACCTAGAAGGTTTTGTTAGTATAAAAGCGACAGTCTTGGTACATTATTCTAGCCTGGCTAGTATCGATAAAGCGAATCTTTCCTCGTTTGACAAATCTCTCTTTGCTGATAAATCTCTTTTCGTGAAGCAAATCGTTGATATTTTATTTTCTACTTTCAAAAACTTAGTAATACCATAATACCAAGTTTGTAATACTCGTTATATCAACTTTGTAATATACAATCTTGGTAATGCCAAAGCTGCCCCATACTCTTTCTCCTTCATATTTTCAACAACACGGTGTTGAATAAAGCATTAGTCGACACCCTGGTAGATCCGTGGTAGGAGCGCTCATGCTTGTGTTGAACGAAAGCGCCTAATATTAACTATAAGAGGTCGCAGGTAAATCACAATGGCTAACTTATTGCTAAACTATTACTTCATAATGATCAGACTGACACTTTCCTATAGCATATTTAGATGAAATATATTTAAATTAGTATCACTGTCGACTTTATAAATCACGACAAACACAGGCATAATCAAGCTTGGACAAAAATGTATAAATTTAGAATACAAATTGGGTTATTTCTAAACATAAATCCCAACCCTTCATTTCGTTTCTATTAATAATTTTAATCAAATTTATTTAAAGATGAATGCCGCTATTATCATCAAAAATATTTTAATGGTTTATGCCATTATGGACATTCACTACAAGTTCTCAAGAAACATTAATGAACCTCCAAATCTGTTAGACGACAAAAGTGGATATCAGAAGATGTTGGAGAAGGCTCGTTCTGATATAAACGTCAAGAAACAAATGGAAATCATACCAAATGCTGAATGGAAGACTGGAGAGCTAATTGAAAGCATGCTGATGATTGAAATAGAGAAGGAAAAGACAAAGCATTAAGTCGAAATTTTTATTTGAGCTTAACGTATTTATTCAATCAATGCGCCCAAAATACTGTAACGGTATGGTTAGTGTAGGCGGTCTAGTCTCAAACAGTTCATCGGATATAACATTTCCATCCAAATGAATTTTGTATCTTTCAATTAACTTTCGAAGCCCTAGAAAAGCCGTTTCTTTTTCGAAATGGATGAATCAAGCTAATCTGACCACTCATTAAATGTCATAACTCGATAGACGTGAAAAACGTTAAATAATCTGAAAAACGTTAAATAATCTAGTTGATAGAGATAACACTTAGAGTGTCATAGAATGATATAAAATTCGTTAGGATAGGATGAAGCTAAAGCAACTTCGCATGAGATGGCAATTCATAGAATAAATACGTACCATGAGATTATTATAAAAAAGTGTATATAAAGCTTCCCAAAAATATATTCAGAATTACATTTGATATTCAAATTTAACATTTATATGTACATATTTATACATATCAAGTTTTTTGTTTGGGGACCAAACCGAGAACCGATATTTTGTCACACTTCTTCGGTTCGGTTCCCAATAACCCCAAGATTTTCTAACAGCCGACACCCTGTACATATTATATATTTGCTTGTAACATCGGTTGTGACACGCCCAAGTAGGCGCAAAGCCATAACTAACTGGAAAATTTCTGGACCTTATAAATTTTGGTACCAATCTCTTTAGCTCGATGAGAGGAATCGTTTAATACTAAATTTGATAAGATTCAAAAATCTTGAAGCAAGTTATGGCTTTGTGCCTACCTGGCCGCGCGTCTACTTGGGCTGTACCCATATAGGTTATCCGTCCCATTTTCATTATTATTACTTCTCCATCTAAAAATCATGATGAGAAAGAGTTTAGCAAAAGTTTTGCCATGCAGGTTTTGCCGGGCAAATAAAGTTTTTATAAATATTCATTTATAACACAATTAGCATTATCTTGAGGGCAAGATTTCTATTAACTTCTTACAGATCATTTCAGAAAGATTTCCTTTTGATCCAAAATTTATCGGGCAGACAAATTATTTGTTTTTATCTATTTGCAATCCTTTCTAAGAAGGTGAAACGAAGGACGGATAACCCGATAGTAACCATTTTATTAAGTATTTTTATTCCATGTATGTTTGCGATTTAAATGATTAAAATGTAAAATCTAGATAAAATTTTCCGTGAATTCTCGTTAATTTATTTAACTCTCACTAATCTTGTTTAAAGTCGCATATGGATTATATGAAAAGTATCATTTTGAAGTATCATTTGGAAGAAGAGAAAATAAAGATTCTAATTATAGATGATATAAGTTTCTGGATAAAATCAAGAGAAATAATAGCTTTGCGAGATAATTACCAATTTAGTAGTGATGGTCGGGATTCCCGGTCTCGGTTCCCGAGTCGGGAAATTTCCCGGGTTTTTTGAGCTCTCGGTCTCGGTCTCGGTGTTTTGGTCTCGGAAAACGAGACTAAATTTACACCCCTAACGACGGAAATTTTTTGAATTTTACTCGTAACCCTCGTACTTAGACATTTAATTTTTTAAGGAAAAGGGAAAGAAATATTTATATTTTCTCCCATTTTTCCTTTTGATGGTCGATGGTTGAGTGGTTAAGTTGACTGACTTCAATATCTTTTTTATTATGGGTTGGGTTCGAATACAGGGGTTGGATTTAGGCTGAAAAAAATTTTTCTTTTCAAAAATAAATGTCTTTTAACTTTGATTTTGATTTCAAATTTATTTTTTAATTATTTTAACTTGAAAAGACATTAAAAATTTTAATTGAATCATGAATTTTTTAAAATTTTCGCATAAGGCGCCTAAATCCTCAGTATACATACTCACTTGCGGCGTAGAAAATGGGAGAAATCTGGCTTCATGACCTCCAAAATTCTCAAAATTTTCGCCTGCGGCGCAAAAAATGAATCAAATTGGAGGATTTATGGCTTAAAGCCTTACAAAATACAAGAATTATCGTATACGGCCCTAAATATTAGGGGTCCTCCTAATCTCTTGGTCTCGACTCTCGGTCTCGACTCTCGGTCTCGACCCGGGACTCGGTCTCGGGGTTGATTCCCGGTCTCGGTCTCGGTTCCCGACTCTCGGCTTTTTTTAACTCCCGACCATCACTACAATTTAGTTGAATAGTTCTTATTTAATCTAGAATAATGTTCAATAATTCACTTGGAAATTTTTTGTTTTTTAGCATCATAATCTATTTTAAGCCGAAATGTATGTTTATATAATATTCGCTATTGCTAAGAAATTTGATTGGAATGGAAATGAAACTCGCGGAAAATCGCCCACAGCAGAATAATGGTGTTTATTGTGGATTTATTAACTTCTCGCAAAGTTGATAGGATGTCTTAAACATTCACTGAAAGCAACATTCTTTATTATAGTCAAAGCTGATTTAATCTTATCGCTAAATTTTATTTTTTATTAGCACTAGAGTAAATATCATTTGAAAAATGCTGCTTGATTTTAAAATTTAAAAAAACTTTGGAATTTTAAAACGCCTTAAACTGTGTTGTCTCATACCTTAGAAAGCTTTTAGCTTCAACTTTACATTTATTCCAGTCTTTTTAAAATTTCACACTTAAACATTAGGCAGAATCTCTCTTGTCTTTTACATTATTACTTTAGCAGAGACCTTCGATCGCTTGCCTGTCAATAAAAATGTAACAATCTCCCCTTACTAGCTTGATTGTTCGTAGTTCGATTTTCCTTTTTATAAATATAATTCTGACTACTTTTAAAAGCTTTTCTCTAAAATTATTAAGATCAGCCTTATTGAATAAAGATTGGAAGTTAATAATTTGGATCTAAATATAACATTAAATGAAAAAATTTGATTAAAGTAAAAATTTGCTCTTCATTTGATGAAAAATTTCGTTACTAATGAAAAAATTTGATTGCTAAGAGTAAAGCTCAATCAAAAAGAAATGTTTATCAAAACAAATATATACAATTTTAAAAAATAGTTAAATATGCTTTAAAATCACTCACAAAGGAGACTGTTTTAGGTGTCCGTGGGACTTCGGGATGAAATTTGGTAGGTAGGTAGATCATACCCTTTCTATTGCAAAACTTGAAACCGTTCTCGCTGAATGGTACCGTGGGCCAAGTTATAAGCTCCCAAAATTTTAGGATCCCCCCATATAAACACTTTCTATTCAGTTATTAATATGTTCATCGGTGGTTCACCACTCCACCACCGCAGAACACATTTGTTAATAATACAAAATTGTTTATGAGTAGAAAAGAAAACTGAAAGGGATCCTAAAATTTTGGGAGCTTATAACTTGGCCCACGGTACCATTCAGCGGAAACGGTTTCAAGTTTTACAATAGAAAGGGTATGATCTATTTGTGTACCAAATTTCATCCCGAAGTCCCACGGACACCCAAAACACTCTCCTTTGTCAGTGAAAAATTTTCTTGTAAAACTTTAGGTTGTTCTTACAGTTTGTTAGGTTTGGATAAATAACACTTGCGGTCTTTTGGTTAATCAGAAAAAAGAAGGGTGTAAAATGTAAAAGGAGTAGTGTGGAGGTATAAAACGGTATCTTCATAATGGAGTATATTTACATAAATATGTACACGAATTTTTCAGAAACCTTCATTTCGATTCTTGTGATGCTTGTCATCTGCGCTTCATTCATTTTGATAATAAGTTAAAATTTCTGAAGCAAAACTCTTTATCAACTCAGATTTTAGAGCATTTGCTTCCTTCAATGTTTTGAGAAGCTCCTTTTTTACATTAGTATGATGTTTGATGCTTTTACCATTTCTGTTTTTGATAATAATATCGTAAATTTGTTCATAAGCAAGCAAAATGTTGGACAGATAACTTTTTGTTTCATATTTTAACTCGGTAATTTTGTCTTGTACGTAAACTTCATTTTGATCATCCTCGCTTTCAATTAAACCCTTCTCCTGAAGTTTTTAAATTATTGCAAAAAGACTATTACATAAAACATTGGGTCTAAAAATTGCTTAGCTCTAAATGCATGGCCTTAGGTACAAATACCTTAGGCATAAATGCCTTGAACAACAGACTGACTGCTGATTATATGTTAGAAAAGTATTTAAATTAAGGTTATTATCATTGGGGTATTTAAATTCAGTCATTCCCCCGGCTTATAGAGCTTGCGGCCTCGCGGCACTTTCTAATGCGAAGAATTTCGATCGCCATGTTTAAAGCTATTTATCTTGCTTCTTATCCATGAAGAAATATGTCACTTTTTCTTAATTCTAGGAGTGTGCTTCTTAATTTTAGCGATTGTAGGACTATTGTGTATCCTCAAGCGAGTTTATCGTCCTGGACGATGCTTTTTTATCAACTCTCGATGTTAAAACTCCTGAGATACCTTTTTCGCTGAGTCATTGGAATGTTTCTTGTCTTCTTTTGCCAATCTTGCCTTTAATTCAGTCTCTTGAATTCCCAAAACGTTTGTGTACCCAGTAATAAGCTCGCGCAAAACTACAATTTCTGTCAGAAGTTTTGGCTCTTTTTCCCAATCATTTATCTTTGTCAGCTTAGCATACATATAGCTGATTACAAGATTAAACTCTTTGTAAAGGTGATATTCGGTATAAGGTTCAAGTATATATAAATTGTTGAAGTTTTTCTGCGCTTGACCTCCTTCCTGAAAAGTTTATTTTTAAATAGTATGTATCAAAAAAAACTTGAGATTAAAATATACTATAGCTGTTTTGAGAATTTTTGAAGATTTTTGGTATTTTTCAAATTTCCCTTCCGTATCTCTTATTACCTCAGCTATCTTTCGCTCTCTACATTTAATAAAAAATTCCATCTTTAGAGGGTGTATCTTTCAACAAACCCAAAAATGTTGAGACCAAGACTTCACCCCAAAGCCAAAAAAAAACTCAAGAAAAGTTTCGAGTTCAAGGGGTTGAAGATAACGTGTTTGACTGTTTCGTATCGGGGGTTTTTCGGGGTCTTAGACATTCCTAGTGTAGTTCAAGCATTAAAAAATGTTTGAATATAACATTAAAAAATATTATTTTTTAAACAATCATAAACTAACAAAATAAATTTGGTTAATATTGTTGTATATTTCATCAACTATAATATTCATATGTTGATAAATCTCAATATACAAATCCAATTTTTTTGTCTTCGCTTCTAACGCTTTAATTTTGGCTTTCAATGCCTTAAATTCGTCCCCTTTGTGAGATGTATTAGGCATTAACTTTATCATTTCATTCATTATGGTTTTAGATTTTTGCGGTTTTAGCTTTTTTATCTCATTTATCATTTTTTCCTTCTCTTTGATTTTGTCAGTCAGGTCAACCTTGACAAATTCGAGATATTTACGTTGAGGATCTTTCACAAAATAAAACAAATTTTTTTCCTCACTGGTTTCCATGTGATTAGATCCAAATGCTTTAAACTCGCTCAATTTTTTCTCTATACTTTTAGTCAGAAATTTTTTCTTTCCAATCTCTAGTATATTCTTAATTTCTTCCTTTTTACCGCTGCAATAAGTATAATTAGACTTTATTCTAGATTAAAAACTGCTACGGTCGGTAAATACTAAGATCTGTTAGGTATAGTTTACGACCAGCTAAAGCTTAGGTCTTCCGAAGCATTCCGTTTATTTTTTTTGCTCCTTCGCTTACATCTTACGCATTTTTGCCCTCTTCTGCCGATTTACACCAACTGACAAATTTATTCTGACCTACCAAAAATTATCGCTTGCAGCGCTAAAAGAGATGAAATATGGCCTCTTGGCCTTCGAAATTTTTAAAAAATTTCGAATGCGGTACACATAAGGTCAACAAGGTCAACACGTATGGTCGACACTTTCGATCTTGTACATTCGGGTTCGACAATTTCTGAGTGTTTTTCTCAGTTGATAATGTATCGGGCGAATAAAATTATAATATCAGGGCAAAAAGGCAAAATTGGCTTTAGTACATAGACCTGCTCTACACACTGTATAAAAATTTTTCCATGTCTTCCATATGAATACGTATTTGTTAGATTAATTCCCATGGAAATTAATAGTTCACGCATTTGGGACGGAATCTTTTACGAATTTTAAAATAAGATAATACAGTAAGGCACTTGAATGAGGAGAATTATTGTTTCAACACATCCCTTGTATGGATTAAGAGGGCTATTATTTGAGGCGTAGAATTAATCGAGAGAGCGATCGAAGCTTAAAAATTATACTTTTAACTAGATCCCTGTCTAATTCGCAGGTTATAGTTTTACGTTCGAGGTCCATCGAGGTCCCAAGCCGGGCTCTAAAATCCTCAAGCAAGGCTCTACTTTTAATTTAAATATTAAGCATACTTTATCACACTTTTCATAAAATCGCCAAAAGCTGAATTAAGCTTGTGTTGGCAGCTGAAGATTCTCCCTTCTATAGCTTCAAATATTTGAGTGTCCTGTACAATGTAAAATTCCGTCTTCGTCTTGTTTACAATTGAATTAATTTGTTTTCTGTAGAACTTTAATTCGTCAAGTTTTCCCATACGTTCTTGCAAACCATGTTTTTCGGTTTCCTTTATCCTAAATAAATTTGTATTAAGACAGTATGAGTTCCAATCCAAACATTAATTTACGCCACAACTTTACTAAAGTTGAAAATCTACCTTCAATCCTTTTTTATTCCCATGAATCTCTTTATACCTCCTTATGCTAGTGATATCTCTTAATCACCCTTAATAAATTCTGAACTAATTTAATAGGAGGATAACATTGATACCAATCCCCTTATAGATAAAAATCCGCTCATATTTATTCCAAGCCATAAACATATTCCCCGAAAAATTTCGATTCGGTTCTGTTTATCGGTTCGGTTTTATTAAAAAAAAGAATTTAGAGAAACCGGCAACCCTATCTAAAGGCTATGTTTGCAATTACATGTCTAATGCATACATCAAGGAGAAGGATCTCCAACATAAACAAAAATTAAACAAGATCCTCTAATAGATAAATATCCCGTTATTGTTCCCTTAATAAGAAAACAAGATTCATGTCCTTCTGCCTATTAGGTTTTAATAGATCTAAAATTTTGAGGCTCAGCCTCCCTGGAAATACCAGAGCCAAATAGGTATTCCAAATTAAATCCTAGTATAATAGTTCGGGTAGTAAAATAAATACTAACATTAGCTTGTCAAGCTCTGAGAGTACTTCTGGAAGAGAAATTTTCTTCGGCAAATGGTTGCCATCCTGTATTTTAATCAAATCTTCAGCGTTTTTGATGTTTTTGAGGTTTCCAATAAATTCACTGATAATGTCAAGTTTAATAACATTTTCAGTATTCGTTTGTTCATTTAATTGTTCTCCTTTGACCACAAAATTGAAGTCATCGCTAGCATTGAGCAGAAATCCCTTAACATTATCAGCTGCCGTAACATCGTTTTCGAGAATAGACTTCATTAATTGCTATAAAATGGATGAACGTTAAAAAGATAAGACTTATAGAAAATTTTTGGGAGTTAGTAAGCTTCACTGGACTTATAAAGCAACCATAGCCAAACATACTTGAGAGTTTTCGTAGTATAGATGATAATATTTAAAATGATTAGCTGAATTAATTAGCTTGTCACTAATAAGCTTGTTGATCTACTTCAGCTAATGCAAAAGGGGCGCTAAGAGGAAACCATCATTCTCAGTTGAACAGGATGCTTTTGAAAAGGAGCATGCTGTTGAACCTCAGCGGAACAGGACCACAATACCTCCTACATATCCTTAGGTATTAAATAGTTGTATGCTTAATATTATTTTATTAGATTCTACCTAATTAAATTTTACCTGATTATACATTCGAACTGATTCTACCTTACTTAACTTGTGCAAACCCTAATAATAAAACCTGCCTCGTAGTTTTGGATTTCTCTTTTAACATAATTGAGTTTCTCCTCTAATTTAAGAGTGTAATCAGCGACATCAATTTCAATTGTATCGCAAAGGAAGAGCAGGCACTTGAAAATTAATAAAGTTTTTAATTGCCACATTTGATAGCGGCAATTTTCTAAAAAATGTTTTAATATGTACAAGGCTTTAAAAATTGTATTATAGGCTATAATTTATAACAGTTCGTGGGGACTTGAGTTACTTGAAATTATAAAATAAAAGTGAATTTAGAGAACCTAAGTTCTATCTTATCTCGAGCCCAGATTGCCCCTTTCAAATCATCAAAAGATGGCATAGCCCCTCAAAAAGGTGACATGAGGAAAAGAGGAAAAAAGGGGGCGAAAATGTCAAGAAGTGGGCAAATGCCCCCTGAAGGTGGTAAAAGGGTCATCCAGCTCGGATCTAATGTAAAGGTTAAGACATGAGTTTAGTATCCGTATATCCTTAACAGAGGATAAAACTTTCTGACGGAATATCGGATCCGAATATTAATAACATAGAATACGCCATACTTAAGGGCCCTTCTACATTATTGTCCATTTTAATTTAATTTAAATTCTAAAGAAAATTAAAGGAGTGAGGAGTAAATGCCAAAATATAGTAGGTTGAGGGGCATTTAAAATTAAATAGACTGGGGAGAGGGCAATAAGCGAGTCTGTCAATGCATCGCCAGTGGCGCTGTCAAGACTCAGTTGTTTGTTAAGGCGCGTGAATATAGGGCGCCCATTTGCCCGTATCAAGCTGCCGACCCCCTCTTAGTCTTGCCATTAGTCTTGCGCCAAAGTAACCCTGCCGTCGCAATAAGGCATCGCATGGCAAAAATTGATTCCCTAGTCTCTCGAGAATAAGTCAATGCATATGACAGTCGCGAGGCATGCCTGTCACGCGTCTTAAAAAAATTTATCAATTAAAATTAATCAATTAAATTATTAAAAATAATAATTTAATTACCGTAATTAATTAAATTAAATGCCCTCTCCGTTTGAATGGTCTAATAACCCTTTTTGAATGATGGAAAATTAGAGACGGACCGTACGACGTATTTATTTTTACTACGACGTATTTTTCGGTATTTACCGGTATTCCGTATCGGTAGTATGATACGTAATATCGACCGATACTATTTTTTGAAGTTGATCGGTATTTATCGGTATCGGTATTTTTCGGTATTCCGTACCGTTTTACGGTACGGTAAAATTTGAATTTTATCGGTATTTATCGGTATCGGTATAATACGGTACGGAAGAAAATTCCGATCTCTATTGATAATAGAAGGGCGGCCATTCAATTAAAATAAATACAGTATATTAAAGTTAATGGAGAAATTAAGCCGATAAAGGGAAAATGAAAGTGATTCAGGCCAAACTATTACCTCAACCAAACTATTACCGTATACAGCAAGAAAGATTTGCAAAATTTCTATTTGAAGGAAATTTTTGTCAGAGTTTGGAGAGGTCTAAGACGGCATTTAAAAATAAAATTTCAAAAGAAGAAACAAAAACAGGTCCCTAAAAATTATTTTTAATAACAAAGTCATGGCGGAAATCTTCAAAAAAAAGTATATAAATATGCCCTTTCATTTCCTTTTCAATTTTGAAATTAATCTTGTGAAAAGTGCGAGTGCGGCATTTAAAAAATATAAAGGAAAGGTCTCGATTGCGACAACGATTTCTCAAACCTTTGCCGGAAGCCGGAGTATTTAAAAATAATTTTTAGACGTAAAGCAAGCGTTTGACTACCTAGAGTTGTTTACCTTTTTATTTGCGCATATGCCCTTTTAGCGGGCTTGTCTTTTTAAATGGATAGGGTTTTATTAAACATTGTCATTTACCCATCTTTTCTTTTTGTAAATTGTATAGAAATAAAAACTAATTTTCTGATTGTTTGTTCAGATGCGGTTACTACTGGCTCTAGCCGCATTCAATGCGTTGCTCGGTAATTTTTCCTTGGTTAATAAATTATTTGACTAATTTTAAAGTTATACAGTCGGATTTCAATTTAACATACACCCTTTAAAAAGCGAGAGTTTTAATTATTTTGGGGTAATTTACTGATATAAATTATGTGGTTCTATCCGAGGCATGCTAAGGCTTCGTCTAGGTTTCATTATTGGTGTCACGGATTTGAGAAAAAAGTCCGTAGCTCAAGCTAGGGGTTGGATCAGGTCATTCAGAGGAAGGTTAAAAGCTTAGCCTTAAATTATAAGCACCTAACCAACAATAAGACATCTTCCACTATCCATTGATCAATCTACAGTTATAAAACTATCTATCATTTGTTGTGCGTAAAATTGAGATTCAACAGTAGTATTTGAATCAAAAACAAGATTAAATTTCGATAGTTTTGGCATCAGCTGTGACTTATGGAAGCTTGGAACCTGTCGTGAGACATCCTGGAGCAGCGACTTCAAATAACTCCATAGTTGAAAATGGAGGATATCACCTGACGCATCACAAGCCACGCTTCAGTGATCGGTATAATATTATTGAATTAAAAATATCTTGGTGGAAAACGTTATAGTATAAACAATAGGTGAAAGATGAAGATTTAGCCGAGGACAGGCTCGATCCTACGGCCTTCTAGCAAGATGGACCTTGCGACCTTGAGTCACATAGGAGCTCCACATAGGCAAAAAGGTCGGATCTGGGTTCGGAGAATTGTTCGGATAAGGGTTTCGGGAAACGAGGTTCGGTTAATCGGTAGCATTGCTGAATTGGTTTCACCCTTGCCAGGCATCACTCACAGTTTTCAGATGATCTGTCTGATAAGAACCAGGGGAGGCTTCTAATACCTTTTTCTCTTCACATAGTTATTTTAGAAATTTTGACTACGACTCACTAGTTGATGCAGAAACAGAAAATGCTGATCGTTTGAAAGAAGATGACTCTCCACTTCTTCAACAGTCAACAGAAAAAAAGAATGACGGTGATTACGATAATACTGAGGAAAATGGAAGCAACTATGTTGAAAGTAACAATGAAGAACCTCCTTTAACAACGCGTAGAAAGTGAATTTTTAGATTAAACCAGTCGAATACGCTTAATTAAGTGTATCGTATTTAGTTGAATAAGTGTCCTGGGTAATTATTGTTTAAACCTATGACTAGAAGGGTAATTATTAATTATCAATCAAATGCCCTCTATCAATTGCCCTCCCTCGATTTAATTAATAGGCTAATCCTCGTTCTCTGAGCAGTGAATTCTCAGGATAACGGGGGCTCTGGGCCGAGGAATTTGCTACCAAGAGAACATGGACGAACCCTAGTAATTAATCGAGGGAGAGCAATTTATAAACGTTATATAGTATACTTATTTAGTTGCTAGTACTGTATGGGTGGGGCTGCATAAACAGTACTCCTATAAGTGTCGACTCACTTATGTTGACCATTTTTTCGGGCCCAATGGTTTACAAATAAATTGAGTCAGAAAACAATCTGATAGTTTTGTCCAGAGGGTGACGTATCAGCAAGCTTCATAAAAATATTTTTAACAGGAATGAGTTCTATACCGTGCCAGAAGGCAAAAATAAAGGAAAGCAAGTGGAAAATACAAAAGATACTAAAGACTCGGATCATGGCAATACACGTAGAAAGTAAATTATTTTTTAAAAGGAGGTTAAACTTAACTTAATTTTAAGGAAGAAACTTTCGAAACCTAATTCTACACCAAAGGTTACGCCAAAGAAAATAATGGCTCTTACAGTCATTTTAATGCTTGCTGTTGTTAACCCATTCAACTTTTTTTTGGTTTATCGTTAGTTTTATAGAGATTTTTTGCCATTTAGGTTATTAAATGCCTGGTTTCTACAGAGTGGCCGATCCTTTATTATTTTCCTTCCAACACACCATAATTTAAGTCTGATGGATGTGGGATGTGTTCTACCATGATTTTAACCCCCACATACATCGGCAGTTACTATATAGAGATTCAACTGTATCTAATTCCTCTACAAAATGTCCTTAATCACCCCGCCCTCCAACCTCCTTCAATTTTATCAGTTTTTAGAAGGCCGACCTCTGATTTATATTGACTGAATCCACATACTCCAGTTTCTTAGAATATAATCCATTGATTATCAACCCCCCCCCCCCTTAATTATTCAAATAGCCTTAGATCGAACTTGGGTCTCAACCCAACTTGCTTATTTAAAAATAGTTAATAAATACCCTAGATATGATCAAACTTTTTGCTGCCTCTAATTGAAAAATTATTTAATTTTTCAGCGGCTATGAAGGCTATGAATAAGGATCATCATCCACCTGAGCGCACAATTATATCGTTGAATTCGTTAACAAAATGTGAAAAATCAGACAAGGATCCAACTAAAAAATTATGCAAAATTGAAATGGATGATACCGATTACGGAGGGCACATCGAAATTTATGCCAAGACTCCAAATGACGACGATCATTTAAGTCTGGTTACAAAAGTTGACATAACCGAGTGCAAAATGGGTACTAACGTTGTTATTGAAAAGTGGCATACTGGAGAAGTTAGAGCAAGATGTGAAAAAAATGTGGGACTGGTAGACTTGGATCATCCAGAAAATAAAATTAAATTGAATTCTGAGGAGGCTAAGAAAGTTAAAAAGTGTATGTTGATATTTAATTAGGAATTTTAGAGGTACAATCGGGATTTGCAAGACAGGCTTGGATTCTTTGACTAAATCTTGGAACCAGTTTCATGATTAGACAAGCGAGCCTTACCTATTGTCTATAGCCTGATCCGGTCTCTTAAACTGATCTTACGTTTATGATTATCAGAGAAGCATTGCGTTATGTCGCTTATTGGTATCCGAAAAATCCAAAGTTGGAGCCAAAGTCTCATAATGCCAATTACTCAGGCCTGAAGGATTCCATACCCTGACACATTAAATTGCCTGAAGATTACATAACTCGAAACATTAAATTTAAAAATTAACAGATGAAACAGAGAATATAATTCGTCGCTCGCTGCTTGATCCTGAAGATGAACTTTTTGCTCAATACAAGGATATGGAGACTTCTCGAATTAAAAACCAAAATCAACGCTTTTTCCAACACCCCTCGTTTTATGAATTGGAGAAAAAACGCCGTCAAATGAGTGAAGAACGGTTAAAAAGTTATTCTCACAACACTCACTCAGCTGTTTTACGACGCACAAAATCAGGAAATGATGTTGATATCTTGTCTCAAAATCATCGCCGCCTCATGAGTCAAAAACCCTTTCATGTCCATTCTCATATTTTGCCAACAGCGAAATTGCAAAATTCAAAATCAACGGAGGAAAGTAATCCGTGGTATGAAAACAATCGAAAACTGAAAGAAGGGTTAAGTAGCTATTCTTACGGCGATGCCTACCAAAATTTCAAAGTGCCTCGTTCAGAAACGACGTTAAATTGGAACGATTTTAGACATGGTTTGAGTTAAAGTTTTATTAAGAATATTTGACTTAGTAATTGTTTAGAAAAGCCACCAGGCAGGAATCGAGTCTGCAAACTTTTAAGTGCTTGTTAACCAATCGCTTACACCCTTGCAGGGTTCCATACCAAGTTTTGCCATTTAACCTCCACCAAAGATTTAAACCTCCACATAAGATTATTCGGTTAACCGACCGTGAACAACCCTACTAACAACAAAACAAGAGATAACTCTGGCTATTTAGGGAAGACAGGGTGTTAATCTAATAATAACATTATAACGAGGTTTAAACTATAATTATAAAATTTTAAATTTTATAGGAGATGGACGCTCAAAGTTTCAAGGTGTTGGTATTGAGAAATCATTCGAAACTAACAAAAAGTCTACTGAACACGAGGATAAGGTTATATTATTAAATATTAGTACTAGGTTAGTAAAGTATATCTCCTCCTAGATGATATAGGAAAAATAGAAAATCATTCGTTGATCGGTAGATAGCTCTCAGGACCCAATCCGATGATTTTTTTCAGGAGGGATCGTATAAACAAGTCGAATCTAAAAAATAGATCATACCGGAACCGAACTGAGCCAATGATTAATGGGCAGTACGGGTTATTAAGAAGTTTTGACCTCTAAAGTAAATCTACGAGGCCGAGTTTTGCCTAAGTTACAACACAAAGTGTAACGGGGAATTGTACACTCGAAATTAGATTGAGTGAAAAATATATCTCAAATTAAGGACAATGAAAATGATGAAGTGAACAATTAAGTGGTGTTTAAAATAAGTAAAAAATATATAGATTTGATGAATTAACTGTTAAATTAATTTAAAAATTTTGAATATAAAAATCTTTAGTTTAACATTGTATTATTTATTAGCCTATTAAAAAATTTATAATTTATTTTCCGTTGCACTATTATATTTATGTCTTACAAATTTTCTAAACTTATAAATTTAGTTAAAAACGGTTTTCTGCTTTTGTGGGAGATGTTATAGGTAGGGTTGTCGGTTCATGGAAATTCTTCGGATATCCAACGCCGAACCGAAGTACCGAATCGCTCCAGAAACGTCAACTCTAGCTATAATGGCCGGAAATAGGGGAGATTTCTCATTTTTCTTCTGCTGTATGTTACTTAATCAAGTAAAGAATAGGAAGCTAAACAAGGACATAAGTCGGTCCTTCGACTTCATTGAAGTCCTACCTAATTGGATCCAAATTTGATACTGTGGTCTAAATGTAGTTTCCGTTAGAGATACATCCATTTTCTCAACCGAATTCGTTTTGGAAGAGGTCTGAAAAAGCCTGCCGACTGTCATTAGGTCGAGGTCTAGTTTATTTATTACTTCTCCTCCCAACTATTTTTGCAACTAAAAGCATTGCTCTTTTGAAAAATTGTCTGCTTAAAAGAGACATCCAAAAATAATCTACAACCCCATACACTACAACTTGAAATCTATTATTTTAGAAATTTAAAATAACTTTAAAATGAAATAAACATATATTAAATAAACCCTCCTTAAATTGCATCACCGGCTTTTCTTAACTAAAACCTTTTTTCCTTTTTAAAAATTTTGGCCCTATTATTTAATTCTGGAAATAAACAAAACGTTTGAAACATATTCTATTTCTGTTAGAAATATTTACATTTTCTCAATCAAATCTTTATTTTGGAAGAAATTTGGAAGAGATTGTGGTAATAGACCGAAGCGGCAGTGTTCGAGTGATAATTCATTGTTTGTCTTAGACATGCCTTTTTATGTTTAAAGAATCAATCGAAAACTTTTGTAAAATTTGTCTGCTTTAAGAGACATCCAAAAAATTTTCCGCAAGAGAGGTCAAACTAAGTTATAATGTCTCTTATTTTATAAACCTTAATACAAATATTATTGATAAAATTATATATGAATTAAACACTGAATTGTTTTCAATCAGTGATGGTTGGTTCCAGTTACGGAACTAGAACTGTGGAACCGATAAATATCTGGAACTGGTTTGAAACTGGTACCGCGGAACCGGCACCGGTTTCAAATTTACACCCCTAATGATGGGTGAAAGACAAGTAATGAGTAAAAGATGGGAGGCATGAGAGCAAAAAATGGGAGGCTTCTAGCCTTCCAAAATTATCAAAACTTTCGCCTGAGGCGCTAAAAAGAAAAACTGGAACCGCCAAAATTTTGGAACTTCAGCATCACTGGCTTCAATAACTTTTCTCAACTTAAATTTTTTGTTTCCCTCAAGTATTGGACCTATTTATAATTTTGAAAACGTAAAAATAAATTTGAAACACCTTGTAATATTATTCTCAAGAAAAATAAATTAAAAATTAATAAAATTAATTAAATTATTTAAATTGTTGGAGCTTTGATGTTTAATAACCAATCGATTATTCATAGTTGAATTCACGAGGCAATTCACGAGAGAATTCACGAGGCAATTCACGAGAGAATTCACGAGTTGGATTCACGAGGCAATTCACGAGGCAATTCACGAGCATAGGCATTGAAGGGCCCTCTCTCGACTGAGATTCATTAGAGGTGAAGGGTAAGCGAGCGATTGACGGGAAGAGGCATTTAAAGACAGTGGAGTGTAAAAGAGAAAATGACTGGGCGATGTAGCTTCATTATAGGGGAAAGATAAGTGAGTGGTTGAGGGATGGCGCTATAGGTAGTGTGAGAAAAAAGGGAATGAATGAAGGGAGAGGCGATGAATTGCTCTTTCTTTCTCAATAGAGAAAGAAAATGAATGAAGGGATGGAGGGAGGGAGGGAGGGAGGAAGGGAGAGGCGATGAAAGTGAGGTGAGAGTCGATGATTGCTCTTTCTTTCTCGAGAGAGAAAGAAAATGAATGAATGAGGGGAAGGTGAGAAGTGAGGGAAAGGCTTTCAAAAGACAAAGCATGTAAGTCGAGGCTGTCCGCCATTTTAAAAAAACTTTATGCAAACACAATCCGCAACTCTCTATTTTAGTTTTGAAATTCAAAAAATTCCCTCACAAGTGCAATAGATAATTCCGGAAGCTTTGATAACCTTGAGATTTCCGGAAAACTAAAAAGTTAAGAGTGCATTTTAACGAGATTAAGGGAAACAATTAGCGGCATGAGAAACAATACAAGGGCATATTTCTTATTTGAGTAGTCGCGAGCGCATGGGAAAGGGCCGGCATTGAGTGTCATTGCTGTGTAAGAGCTTAAAAATTTTTAAAATACAAACTACAATTTAAATGTAAAAGGCAAATCGCTCGCCCCATCTCTATACATTACCCAGCTTCATTACCCATTCCATATTTCTTTACCAACATCCCCTTGCCTAACATTAAAAAGTGAAGTAACGCTGAATGAAGCTTTTTGTGTTGTTAATTGGAGTTTTGGCCTTCTCGGGTAGTTTTATATTTAAAAATTGGGGTTAGACTGACCGCGGTCTCAGATACCCAAAGGTGTTGAAAATGTTTTAATTATTATAAGAGCTATCCCCAATAGAGGGATCCCCTCTTAACAGACGAAGACCCCTTATTAAGACCCCTTAAGACCCCTTACGAAGACCCCGCAAGCTTATAGCTGACGCTGAGGAGGATTTAATATAGATCGGCCGGACGTTTAATTACCCCCCCCCCCCCATTATATCGGCCCTTTTAGTGGGTGGAAAATTGACAGGCCGGCTGTTCACTTGGAGAAACTAGTTCTCATTCTTTGTATTTACTAACAGTTCTAAATGTCCATGGAGGAGGGACCGATTCGACACTGACTCACAGAAACCCGCGAATCAACTCAACTGCTGAGCGATTCACCGATGTACCATTGGACGATAATTCATCTTCGCCCCCTCAGGCTGTGTTGGACATTGAAAGTAACTTTTTAGTACTACTGGACCTTGATGAGGGGTCTAAATTTTTTTTAATTTTTAATTAAGTGCAAGCAGAGCGAATAGTGCATCGTCGACATGCTCCAATGTAAAATAGCTCTTAAAAATAGTTTTTTATAATATTTTTCATTTCAGGTCGATTGGGAAAAAAGTGGTGGCTGTAATTTTTGCATTTTTTCTGTCTGTTTCTTCGTTATATCTATTAGCCGGTAGGTTATTTTCAAATCTCAATATTACCACTCGCTAGATAAAACTAATTATATAAGCAGAGGATATGTTGTGTAGTGTTGTTGCGTTATTATTAAAGCCCGTGAAAGCGTCAGTCTAGTTGGATCATACTAGCCAGGCTAGTCACTGATTAGAGACTGATAGTCCCTCCCGGGTAGCCCCCAGTTAGTCCTCACACATTCACATTTCAACTTCTGATAAACGTTATTCTTGTGCACGCTGACATTTTAAAAACATCGGACACCCTTAGACCTTCAGGATAGTAGAAAAATACAGGAAAACTCTTTATATGGGCACTACTTGTGTCAGAATTCTGCTTAATAACAAGAAAGGATTCGTAGGAGAAGGGCAATATTAACCCTCAGATATATCAGAACTAAATAAGATGAGGCAAATAGGGAAAGTGGCGTGAGGAGGGAAAGTGGCGGGGGAGGGAAAGTTACAGTTGCTAGAGGATCTAAAACTTCCGTGGATCTAAAACTTCCGTTCTCTTACTGTAGATGGTAAATAAGATGAAGTTATACACTGATTTTATCACTTTAAATTCCAAATTCCCCAAAAATAAGTTTCATTAAAGTAGAAATAACTAAATTATTGCAGTGCCAAAACCACAAATCCAACAAGTTGAGTACAAACATTCGCCACAACCCTATAAATTTATTGAGCTTAATGACAAAGTAATCTGCAACAGAGAAACAAAACAATGTTCAATAAAATTCAAAAATTTGGATCCTAATCACGAGTATATATTTTATACTGCAAAGAATGACAATGGGAGAGGAGATAAAGTAAAGTTAACTGAAGTTGCAAAAATAGATCCGGACAAGTGTGATTTTGACAAGAATGTAAAACCGGAAGTAGATGGAGAAGAAATTTGTAAACAGGTAATAAATACGTACAAAAATAATTTTTATTTTAGTAAATAGATTTTACATTTAAGCATATATGTACTATATGGGATAGTTTGAATGATAGATAGGCGAAATTCCTCTTTTCCTTTTTTTTACTTTTTCAACCTCTTCGGTTCCGCGCTTCGTCTGTCTCATCCTAATTTGTTCCGCATCATTCCTCCTTCGTTATACGCTTTTTTAATTGGTGCAGGAACAATCATGATTTAGAAGGGCTTCCTTAAAGGTACTCCATCTAATTAAAAGTGGGCGGATTATATTGGAACAACATAAACAGAACCCGCGTGCCCAGAGTTGAGAAGGGAGGAGTATTGTAAAGCGAAGTCTATTCTATACATTTTTTAAATCATTATTATTTCAAGATTGTCAAAGGAATTGATGAGAACTCAAAAGCTGAAACTATTGAGGTTGACAGCGGAGAAATAATATTTGGTTCGGAATCAGATGGAACGGAGGATTATGCGATAGTTGAAGAAGGTAGTTGTTTAATTCAGTGTAGAAAGCGGAATGTCAATTTTTAAATTATTGCTAGTGTGGAGGGATTCAATGTTAGTCCAATACCGAGTATTAGAAAAAACTCATGACTAATATCTTTCAAACAAGTCAGATTGTAAAATAGGTTCAAATCTAGATTCGTATCTTCTTTGCACGTCTATTACCTCTAAATATCAGCCTCTAATACCTCTAAATATTACCTCTAAAAATCAGATTACAATGTCGGCGCGATTCGATATCGTGGTAACGTCTTATAAGATTCGAATGATCAATCATGACTTAATTTTCCCTGAATTCTAAAATAATATAATCACATTTTTATTCAGCCAAACATGAGAACGAACATAAAAATCAACAAGAGCTAGAGCATGTTCATATCGCTGGGCCAAGGGAACAGCCAGTTGAACACAATCAGCCAACTATAAAAAATCCGACAGTTACAAAAGTTGAACCAGTTAACGAATATCAACATAAACTAGAAGAGCGCGTTAAAAAACTGGGAATAATTGACTTTAAACATGGAGATTTATACGGAAAGAATCACCAACGTGCTATGAGTAATCCCACTGTCAACGAAGATGAAAAGGCTAAGAGACTTGAAAAGCTCCTTGGAACACTAGAAGACCATAAGCATCCATCGCTAGTTGATAAATTCAAAAAAGGTTTATTCTCTCTAATACGTCTCAATTTTCGCAATTTAAGAAAAAGGAAACTTTAATAAGCGCTCCCAAAGTGACCCCGCTCGAAATAAAGTTGGAAAGGCAAAAGATTCTGATTCTAATGGACCTGAACAGAAGTTAGAAAAACATATTAAAGATTTGGCACTTAGTGACTTCAAACATGGAGATATATTCGCAAAGAATCGCCAACGTGCTATGAGCAATCCCAACGCCAAGGAATATGAAAAGGCTAAGAGACTTGAAAAGTTCCTTGGAACACTAGAAGACCATAAGCATCCATCGCTAGTTGATCAATATAACAAAGGTTATATAAAAAATCTAACTAGTAAGTCTAATATTTCACAATTTAAGATAAAGGAAGCTTAAATCAACGCGCTAAAAGTGACCCCATTGGCAATCAAGTTGGAAAGGCAAATGGACCTGAAGAAAGTTTAAAAAAACTGGCAATTAGTGACTTTAAACATGGAGAATTATTAGGTGGGTAAAATATATAAGAAATTATTGATAATCACTTAATTATTTAATAATAAATAATTATTTAAATGTCGAACCGCATATTTGAGTTTTGTAATTTGAATACCCAAAAGGTCAGGTCCTAAGCGGTAACTTCAAATGTGTGTATCTATAGTACCCATAAATGTTATATTATGTAAATATCTTTAATATGCTTTTCACAACTGATTTTAATGCCACTTTCCTTCATTCGTTGACACAAAGGTCCCGGTTATACGTATGTATGTAGCTAACTTAGAGTTGGAAGGAAAAACTTTAAAAAGCCTGAATTATTAAAATACATAAACAATTTATAAATTTTCACGAGTTTAAGGTCGAAAAGGAGGATTTAAACAACGCACTATGAACATTCCTAGTGCCAATAAAGTAAAACAGGGAAAAGGAAGTGATTTTAATGGAGACGTTGAAGAGAAGGTAGGTGCAGAAAATGGCAAGAATCAAGAGAAACCTATATTAACTGGACGTAAGTTAGCTGCAGCTGAGCATAATCCAGGTGGTTTATTGGGAAACTAATAAAATAAAATTGCAAGTTTAATTCTAGTTTCTGATACTCTTGGTTTTAAACGTGGAAGTTATGCGTTGGAGAAGCCTAAGAATTATTGAGATATTTTGCTTGAAGAGTTTGACTAAAGGATGTACATAAGATTTTTTTGAGAATGTATATACTATTTTTTGAAAGGGATTATATATTTTTTAAATTTACATAGTATCTATGCAACTGAAAAAAATTTTTAAATTCTTTTATTTATTGATATATAAATTGTGGGACACGCCCAAGTAGTCTCTTGAAAGTGAACCTCTTGAAAGTGAACCTACAACTCTTGAAAGTGAACCTACAGGCATCGGCAGGCGCTAAAAAGTGAATCAAAACCCCTCGCTTAGCTTGATTTCTTTTAGTCAATTCTATAGAAATTAATAAAAATAAACCGGATTCGAACAAAACGAATACACTAAACTAGTTGAAATTTGTCGAAACTCAAAGAAAATCCAAATGCAATGAATAAATAAAAGAAGTCAAGCAAGGAAATAGCACAAAAATCAAGTAAATTACTTATAACTGAATACTTCCTTTGAAAAAGAAAAATAAATAATTAAAAAATTATTTTTAAAAAACTTCTCAAATAGTATTCGAGCAGTATAAAATAACCAAAATGCAAAGTACAAAGAATAATAAAAGGGCAAAAGCTGTCTGTGTAAATGTAAACTAGGCAAATCTGCAATAGATGGTCTAACTTACTTCCTTCCTCGAATGGCCTTCACAACATTCAGCCATGAACAACTTGCGGACTTTTATGCGACTCATATTGTACGGAATATACTACTTCCTCTATATATCCTACTTCCTCTTTCCCGGTGCTTATGCCGTTTCACCACCCGTCCGCTTTTTACTTTTTACATGGAATGCTCAGTCATTTTTCTTTGCGTAATTTAAAAAATTTCTCTGTAGTCACATTCGTTCACTCACTCTTCCTTCAATTTAGACTTATTTTTTTGTTTTTGATTGCCTGTCTCACACATTTTGCTCTTATTTTTAGTAAATGACTGAATAAATCGATGTTCATTTTTTAACATTTAAGACGGTTACAAATAAAAAAGTTAAATTATTGAAGGAGATTGACTGATTGAATGTGACTACAGGAATGTGACTCACTAGATAATGTAATGAAAGAGCGTATATGAAGGACTGAGAAAAAGGGTTGCTCCTACAGATAACAAATATTATTTAAACACTAAATAATATTAAAAAATTTATTTAATCCATTAAATTAAATAGCTATTAAAACATTTAAGGTGATTAAAATCCTCTATAACTTGCTGGGAATGGAATGAGAATATTTCTTTTTGAGTAAAATTTATTTCATCCTCCTTGATTAACTACTTGGCGAACAATATTGTATAAATTCCGCAATCGTCGCCATTGCCTTGTTTCGGAATATCCATTATATCTATTAAATTCCACTCATCTCTTCTTCCGATATAAGAATTGGAATTAATAGCCATTTGGTTAATCATTTCACTAAATTTATAAAAACGATATTTACCATTACTATTTCATTAGTTATTATTAATTAAATATTTATGACAGATTTAAATTTTGGCCGAAATAGTATGAAAATTTCACTGAATTACAGGCATTACCGAAAAAAAGTAATACATTTCGACTCAGCATCTACTATTCTATATATGACATTTTAAGAATTAATGTAGGGTTGTGACAAGACTGAAAAATTTTGAAATGGACAAAAAATTTTTAGCTGATTTGAAATCTTCACTGAAGATATATGAAATTAACATTAACAACTTTTTAAAGATTGTTATCTTTGTTAAAAATTTTGTTAAAGATTGTTATTTTATTAAAGATTGTTATCTTACAAAAATGATTCCATGCGTTTTATTTTTGGAATATTTGTTACATGAATACTATGTCATAATAAATTTTTGTAAATGTTTCTTGCCATTGAAGTATAGTGATTTTCATTTAAAAATATTGTTGACAATAAGTTGTTCGTTTGGCTAAGTGACTTTTGCTGTCTTTTTGTCCTTTCGAAGCTCCGTATCTCAAAATCATTAATATATAACATTTCATATTTTGATTGTGACAACAATTTATTGATGACGACATCAATAATGTCAGATACAACCCATTTACCAGGTCGTAGATTCCGCAATCGTCCCCATTATCTTGTTTTGGAATATCAATTCTATCTTTTAATGTCACAGAGATTTCTTCCATTATTATTTATTCACCCAAACAAACATCTTTATATTTTTAATTAAAATGCCATACAATGTGTACATAAATGCGGCAAACCTTTTTTGTTATAAAGGTTAAAAAACTGTTATTTTTGTTAAATAACTTTTTGTTTAAATAACATGTAATTAAATAATTTCTATTCACAAAAGTAAGAAAAACATTTTTAATTAATTGGCACAAAGACAAAAAAACAAAAATAGTAAATAAATAAATTTTGCAGGGACCCCAATTCTCCGAAAAGATTTTTACTCAAAACTCAAAAAACACGAGTCTTTCACAGCTTTTTTAATTACCCGCGTTTGTTTTCACTACTTCTTCGCTCTTACTTTTCTTTTTTGTGTATGGAAACAATGTTTCCTTTTACAATAAAAGAAAAGAGAGAGCATAGGGCATCAATTTTACCGCATATAAATAAAGCAGGTAGCTGCCTTTTTTCATTTTAATCTTTATTTTTCAAAAATGTGAAGATTCTTTTTTTGTTTTTATTTATACTTTGTATTTATTTTCCAATAATTATTTTGTACATGTCTTTTTTTCATTTTAATCTATTTTTTTAAAAATGACTAATTTATAACAATAAAGACTAATTTATAACAAAAAGCTTTACCATTATGAAGCTTTACCTTGATGAAGCTTTAAAATTTATTATTTTTTATTTAAAGTTTATTTCTCTAAAATAATAAATTTTTCCATTTATTCTTTTTGTTATTTAATTTTTTAACTCGATAAATAGAATATTTTTACATCCTTAAAACTAAAAAAATTATTTATTGATTATGAATTTTTAGTTAAACAACTTTTAATTTATGTATTATCCAAGGCCAGCAAATGCTTACTATGTGGACGTTACTGATGTCTGCGATGAACAACAAATTTTATTACTTGCACGCACGAAATGAATATGGCGGCTAACGTATGTTTTTATAGATTGAAACCTTTAAAAACCCAAACAGGGAACCGACCAAGTCAGATTCGTGGTAAGAATTCGAAATTAAGATATTATGGTTACTCTGACCCGTCTCTTTATTCTGAGTCGAGTATTATCAAAATTATTACGTTTCGACCATTTATGATCAATTAAATACAATTAGTATAGACTTCTATGTAGAAAACCGGAATCACTCCATTTATTGAAATTTTCATTTTTCTATTTATTTTATTCGACCTGTTGATGCTTAGTACTTCTAGGTGATTGATATAGACTGCTGGAGTTCCGATGCACAATTTTTTAATTGCGACATCAATAATGTCGGTGTATAACAATTTCCCAATACTTGGACTCAAAAGCCAATAATGTTTTACAACAAAGTCTATGCCCTGAAATTTTCAGGGCATAGACTTCTATGCCCTGAAATTTTTTTTCTAAAATTCGAAATTTCTAAATATTCTTGTAAAGAGGCATTTATTATTTCTGACTGTTTCTGAACGGATTTACAAGCAATTTTACGTGTTCTATATTAAGAGTAATAATTACCTGATTTTCTCTCAAAGGTATATATCCATTAATTTGTTCCATTTTATCTTCTTTGTAATCTATAGAGTCTTTTATATTTGATTTAACTCCCATGTTATCTTCATTAATTTCAAGTCGCTCATTTCCATAAACACATCAAAAGAATACATCCAGAAAAATTATCTAAAATTTATTCTATGCCTCTGCTATTTTATTAAATTTTATAACTAATAGAATAAAAAAAATTCTAAGCTCATATTCGGACTTAGTGCAATCGATTACCTTCTGACATATTTCAAAAAATCAAAAAAGCACTTTTTACCTTTTATTCTAGGGATCAGTAACCTTTACTACTACACTAGGAATTCCGCATATTATTCAAATTATTCTACCTTTTTTCCAATTGCTCTTATTAGAAGCCATTGTCCATAGATGGATTGCTTGCATCAGAATCGCTAAATGTTTATCATATAAACAAATACAAAGTTTGGATAATTCATGACATCATTTCCCAAACTTCTGAAATTGATCTTTAAAAAAAAGAAAATATTTGAATTTTTAAGGCCCGTCTTTATAAGGTTAATATGTATTAAACGCTTTTGCTTGATTTGGCGCTAAGTATAGGAAGTAAAATAGGGAAAATTTAAATAATAATGACCCAAAAAATAAAAATTTTTCAAAAATCTTATTTGAAGAAATTTCATAGAAATTTTCAAAAATTAAATCCAATTAAATTTATTACAAAAATCCCCTAAGAATCACCCAATAAAAAAATTATTCTCAACAAAACACAAAATTATTAAATCAAAGTGTTTGCCTCAAATGTACTTAAACAGCAAAATGTAAATGATGTCGAAAAAAAGAACAAACCATTAAGTAATGTCGATTTTTGGCTAAATGAGCGAGCATATTTATTAGCAAAACTTCTGCATTTAAAAAATTTTCTAGTCTGTAAATCTTAAGAATTTTTTATCCGCAAATACTTGCGGACAAAAATTCTAATTTTAAAAACCTCTTTTTGTAATAAATTTGCTTAACAATACTTCAGAGTCCAGATACTGACGATTTTTATGACGGGATTTCCTGGATAAAATCTTTTTGTATGTCTTTATGTCTTTTTTACCTTTAAAATTTCACATTTTCAAAGCCCTAATAAAAAAGGAAATTTGGCTAATGTTATTCCAGAAGAGTAAACCCCCCCCCCTCAAGATTCCAGCCCAAGATACTTGCTTCCTGCCAAAATTTTTGCCTTCGGCGCTATGATTTATCGAGTAATAAGATTGATTTCTCAACCAATTTACATAAAAGAGATATCGGAGGACCCAAATAGTCTTCTTATATCCCTCCATATCCTTCTATCCTACGTAATTTTCTGATATCCCCCCAAAATTTCATTTATTAAATAAATTCCATCCTATCCCGACATTTAAATTTATCATAATTAATTTACTATTTTGAGACGTGCTGTTTTTCGTTATTTGGGAATTTCCAAAGCCCAATCAACAGTTATTCGTATTGGCACAACAATTCAAACAACAGTTCGTCGTTATGGGACTGCTAGTATACACCCAGTTGGACGTTCTGGAAATTAAGTATTTAGATCAAAGCCAGAAGAAAATTCATGTTAAAAGGAAAGATATTTGAAGAAGATTAAATTCATTAAAAAATAAAATATTTGAATTAATATAGATATTTCTAAAAATTAATTCAGTATAATAAAGTAACTTCTTTTTTTGACAATTTGAAGGTCGGAAAAATATATTAGTGTCATTTTGGTTGGGAAAATTTTTGCAGATCTTAAATAAATAAAAATTGAAAGTTTAGCTATAGGTGTTCCATTTATTTTTTACAAAATGAATATTCTTCAGTTTTTAGCTGAATAATTTAAAAATGTTGGAAGGTGTTTGTATATTCAGCTAAGGGGTGGATCGCAAATTGGATGTTCTAAGAATAATTTTTAAAGAATGTCCTTAAGAAAATAGTTCATTTAGAAGGCCATAATGTATGCTAATTGGATGAAACCTATATTCTTTCCAAGATACTAAAATTTTATCTCAATTAGTTTTGTTGGGTTGATACCACGTCAAACATAAGAATTCGTAAGTAAGAATCAGATAATTTATCACTTTAAAAAATTTACCAAAAATGTTTATAGAATTTTATCACATTAATATTATTTTAAATCTTATACATCTTCATTTTTCTTTCATCATTCAAACTTCTCTTATTATTTTTATGCTTATGGAGAGCACTCCTTCTTGCAGATGATACCAGTTCCGGGTCGTTCACAACTACAATCCTTCCATTTTCCATTATGGTCTATAGCGACACAATGCTTCTTGCCGTAAGATCCATCATCAGATCCAGGTTTGGATGGACATCCAGGAGCCCAGGGACCTGATGGCTCTGATGGTTCTGTAACCAAAGAGAATGGAGTGGTCGCTTTTGGTTTTTTGGTCTTGTTGCAGCTACATTTTTTGTTTTTTTTCTTTTTGTCTTTCTTGCTTTCATGCTTGGTAACCTAAATTTTGAATAGATTATACAATAATATTGTATTTACTAACGTTTTTATATCCAAATGAGCAATCGCTGCTATCATCACAATAGCAATCGTTAGTATTCTCTTTTTCATTATGAACTAAGTGAAGACCAATCCATACACACTTATCAGTTTGTGAAACGTCTCTCTTAGATCGCTCAGATTTGGAAATGACAGAATCAATCAAGAAGGAGTTTTCTTCCTCAGAATGGACTGAGCATGGGGTGGCATTGTGTTTAGCGCAGATGGCTGATGCCTATATAATTATTGAACTAAATTTATAAAAAAATTAGGCATACATCAAAATAGCAGCCATCAGAATCGAAGTACTTATAAGCATATGATTTGCCATTTTTGCCAGTTTTCCAGTGCCAGTCATCAGACCCACATTTGTATTCAACACTGCAATTACAATTTCCACAACCCGGAGTGCTTGGGGTATTTTGTGCAATTGTTGTCGATGGAGCTTGCGATGAAGTAGTAGGTCCGTTAGTAATAATGGGTCTTGCTGGAGTTGGTGTAGGTTGCTCTGGAGTATTATGCTCAACTGTAGGGGGTTGCAAGGTAGATGGTCTGCTAGTAATTGTATTAATCGGTCTAGCTGGTGTTGGAGAATTTTGGAATGGAGTATTTCTTCCAACAGAGGTCGAAGTTTGTAAAGTAGTTTCAGCAGTTCTTGTTGGAGGTGTAGGGCGCGGACCTGGATTATTTCCTGGTAAACCGGGCAATCCTGGGCTACCTTAAAAATGTGAAAATAATTGAAAAATGTTTAATATTATCCTAAAATATTAGTTTTTTATTTTAGGATAATTAATTTGCCTGGAAGTCCTGGAGCTCCTGTGCCACCTGTTCTTGTTGGAGGTGTTGGACGTGGACCTGGATTATTTCCTCCATTTCCTGGTAAACCGGGCAATCCTGGGCTACCTTAAAAATATGAAAATAATTAAAAAATGTTTAATATTATCCTAAAATATTAGTTTGTTAAATTAATTTGCCTGGAAGTCCTGGAGCTCCTGTGCCACCTGTTCTTGTTGGGGGTGTTGGGCGTGGACCAGGATTATTTCCTCCATTTCCTGGTAAACCGGGCAATCCTGGGCTACCTTAAAAATATGAAAATAATTAAAAAATGTTTAATATTATCCTAAAATATTAGTTTGTTAAATTAATTTGCCTGGAAGTCCTGGAGCTCCTGTGCCACCTGTTCTTGTTGGGGGTGTTGGGCGTGGACCAGGATTATTTCCTCCATTTCCGGGTAAACCGGGCAATCCTGGGCTACCTTAAAAATATGAAAATAATTAAAAAATGTTTAATATTATCCTAAAATATTAGTTTGTTAAATTAATTTGCCTGGAAGTCCTGGAGCTCCTGTGCCACCTGTTCTTGTTGGGGGTGTTGGGCGTGGACCAGGATTATTTCCTCCATTTCCTGGTAAACCGGGCAATCCTGGGCTACCTTAAAAATATGAAAATAATTAAAAAATGTTTAATATTATCCTAAAATATTAGTTTGTTAAATTAATTTGCCTGGAAGTCCTGGAGCTCCTGTGCCACCTGTTCTTGTTGGGGGTGTTGGGCGTGGACCAGGATTATTTCCTCCATTTCCGGGTAAACCGGGCAATCCTGGGCTACCTTAAAAATATGAAAATAATTAAAAAATGTTTAATATTATCCTAAAATATTAGGTTGTTAAATTAATTTGCCTGGAAGTCCTGGAGCTCCTGTGCCACCTGTTCTTGTTGGGGGTGTTGGGCGTGGACCAGGATTATTTCCTCCATTTCCGGGTAAACCGGGCAATCCTGGGCTACCTTAAAAATATGAAAATAATTAAAAAATGTTTAATATTATCCTAAAATATTAGTTTGTTAAATTAATTTGCCTGGAAGTCCTGGAGCTCCTGTGCCACCTGTTTTTGTTGGGGGTGTTGGGCGTGGACCAGGATTATTTCCTCCATTTCCGGGTAAACCGGGCAATCCGGGGCTACCTTAAAAATATGAAAATAATTAAAAAATGTTTAATATTATCCTAAAATATTAGTTTGTTAAATTAATTTGCCTGGAAGTCCTGGAGCTCCTGTGCCACCTGTTCTTGTTGGGGGTGTTGGGCGTGGACCTGGATTATTTCCTCCATTTCCTGGTAAACCGGGCAATCCTGGGCTACCTTAAAAATATGAAAATAATTAAAAAATGTTTAATATTATCCTAAAATATTAGTTTGTTAAATTAATTTGCCTGGAAGGCCTGGGGCACCTGTGCCACCTGTTCTTGTTGGAGGTGTTGGGCGTGGACCTGGATTATTTCCTCCATTTCCTGGCAAACCGGGCAATCCTGGGCTACCTTAAAAATATGAAAATAATTAAAAAATGTTTAATATTATCCTAAAATATTAATTCATTAAATTATATTTGCCTGGAAGGCCTGGGGCACCTGTGCCACCTGTTCTTGTTGGAGGTGTTGGGCGTGGACCTGGATTATTTCCTCCATTTCCTGGCAATCCTGGGCTACCTTAAAAATAATGAAAATGAATAAAGAAATGTTTAATATTATCATAAAATATTAATTTATTAAATTATATTTGCCTGGAAGGCCTGGGGCACCTGTGCCACCTGTTCTTGTTGGGGGTGTTGGGCCAGGATTATTTCCTCCATTTCCTGGCAAACCGGGCAATCCTGGGCTACCTTAAAAATAATGAAAATAAATAAAGAATTGTTTAATATTATCCTAAAATATTAATTTATTAAATTATATTTGCCTGGAAGGCCTGGGGCACCTGTGCCACCTGTTCTTGTTGGGGGTGTTGGGCCAGGATTATTTCCTCCATTTCCTGGCAAACCGGGCAATCCTGGGCTACCTTAAAAATAATGAAAATGAATAAAGAAATGTTTAATATTATCCTAAAATATTAATTTATTAAATTATATTTGCCTGGAAGGCCTGGGGCACCTGTGCCACCTGTTCTTGTTGGAGGTGTTGGGCGTGGACCTGGATTATTTCCTCCATTTCCTGGCAAACCTGGCAATCCTGGGCTACCTTAAAAATAATGAAAATGAATAAAGAAATGTTTAATATTATCCTAAAATATTAATTTATTGAATTATATTTGCCTGGAAGGCCTGGGGCACCTGTGCCACCTGTTCTTGTTGGAGGTGTTGGGCGTGGACCTGGATTATTTCCTCCATTTCCTGGCAAACCGGGCAATCCTGGGCTACCTTAAAAATAATGAAAATAAATAAAGAATTCTTTAATATTATCCTAAAATATTAATTTATTGAATTATATTTGCCTGGAAGGCCTGGGGCACCTGTGCCACCTGTTCTTGTTGGAGGTGTTGGGCGTGGACCTGGATTATTTCCTCCATTTCCTGGCAAACCTGGCAATCCTGGGCTACCTTAAAAATAATGAAAATAAATAAAGAATTCTTTAATATTATCCTAAAATATTAATTTATTAAATTATATTTGCCTGGAAGGCCTGGGGCACCTGTGCCACCTGTTCTTGTTGGAGGTGTTGGGCGTGGACCTGGATTATTTCCTCCATTTCCTGGCAAACCGGGCAATCCTGGGCTACCTTAAAAATAATGAAAATAAATAAAGAATTCTTTAATATTATCCTAAAATATTAATTTATTGAATTATATTTGCCTGGAAGGCCTGGGGCACCTGTGCCACCTGTTCTTGTTGGAGGTGTTGGGCGTGGACCTGGATTATTTCCTCCATTTCCTGGCAAACCTGGCAATCCTGGGCTACCTTAAAAATAATGAAAATGAATAAAGAAATGTTTAATATTATCCTAAAATATTAATTTATTGAATTATATTTGCCTGGAAGGCCTGGGGCACCTGTGCCACCTGTTCTTGTTGGAGGTGTTGGGCGTGGACCTGGATTATTTCCTCCATTTCCTGGCAAACCGGGCAATCCTGGGCTACCTTAAAAATAATGAAAATAAATAAAGAATTCTTTAATATTATCCTAAAATATTAATTTATTGAATTATATTTGCCTGGAAGGCCTGGGGCACCTGTGCCACCTGTTCTTGTTGGAGGTGTTGGGCGTGGACCTGGATTATTTCCTCCATTTCCTGGCAAACCTGGCAATCCTGGGCTACCTTAAAAATAATGAAAATAAATAAAGAATTCTTTAATATTATCCTAAAATATTAATTTATTAAATTATATTTGCCTGGAAGGCCTGGGGCACCTGTGCCACCTGTTCTTGTTGGAGGTGTTGGGCGTGGACCTGGATTATTTCCTCCATTTCCTGGCAAACCGGGCAATCCTGGGCTACCTTAAAAATAATGAAAATAAATAAAGAATTCTTTAATATTATCCTAAAATATTAATTTATTGAATTATATTTGCCTGGAAGGCCTGGGGCACCTGTGCCACCTGTTCTTGTTGGAGGTGTTGGGCGTGGACCTGGATTATTTCCTCCATTTCCTGGCAAACCTGGCAATCCTGGGCTACCTTAAAAATAATGAAAATGAATAAAGAAATGTTTAATATTATCCTAAAATATTAATTTATTGAATTATATTTGCCTGGAAGGCCTGGGGCACCTGTGCCACCTGTTCTTGTTGGAGGTGTTGGGCGTGGACCTGGATTATTTCCTCCATTTCCTGGCAAACCGGGCAATCCTGGGCTACCTTAAAAATAATGAAAATAAATAAAGAATTGTTTAATATTATCCTAAAATATTAATTTATTAAATTATATTTGCCTGGAAGGCCTGGGGCACCTGTGCCACCTGTTCTTGTTGGGGGTGTTGGGCCAGGATTATTTCCTCCATTTCCTGGCAAACCGGGCAATCCTGGGCTACCTTAAAAATAATGAAAATGAATAAAGAAATGTTTAATATTATCCTAAAATATTAATTTATTAAATTATATTTGCCTGGAAGGCCTGGGGCACCTGTGCCACCTGTTCTTGTTGGAGGTGTTGGGCGTGGACCTGGATTATTTCCTCCATTTCCTGGCAAACCGGGCAATCCTGGGCTACCTTAAAAATAATGAAAATGAATAAAAAATGTTTAATATTATCCTAAAATATTAATTTATTAAATTATATTTGCCTGGAAGGCCTGGGGCACCTGTGCCACCTGTTCTTGTTGGAGGTGTTGGGCGTGGACCTGGATTATTTCCTCCATTTCCTGGCAAACCGGGCAATCCTGGGCTACCTTAAAAATAATGAAAATGAATAAAAAATGTTTAATATTATCCTAAAATATTAATTTATTAAATTATATTTGCCTGGAAGGCCTGGGGCACCTGTGCCACCTGTTCTTGTTGGAGGTGTTGGGCGTGGACCTGGATTATTTCCTCCATTTCCTGGCAAACCGGGCAATCCTGGGCTACCTTAAAAATAATGAAAATGAATAAAAAATGTTTAATATTATCCTAAAATATTAATTTATTAAATTATATTTGCCTGGAAGGCCTGGGGCACCTGTGCCACCTGTTCTTGTTGGAGGTGTTGGGCGTGGACCTGGATTATTTCCTCCATTTCCTGGCAAACCGGGCAATCCTGGGCTACCTTAAAAATAATGAAAATGAATAAAGAAATGTTTAATATTATCCTAAAATATTAATTTATTAAATTATATTTGCCTGGAAGGCCTGGGGCACCTGTGTCACCTGTTCTTGTTGGAGGTGTTGGGCGTGGACCTGGATTATTTCCTCCATTTCCTGGCAAACCGGGCAATCCTGGGCTACCTTAAAAATAATGAAAATGAATAAAAAATGTTTAATATTATCCTAAAATATTAATTTATTAAATTATATTTGCCTGGAAGGCCTGGGGCACCTGTGCCACCTGTTCTTGTTGGGGGTGTTGGGCCAGGATTATTTCCTCCAGATCCAGTTGTTGAAATTGTTGCTTCATTCTGTCCATTTAATGTCGTTGAAGTTCCGAGAGTTGTTGCTGCATTGTTTCCATTAGAACAAGTCATTTTGCAGACTGCTCCATCAAGTCTATCAGCACAAGCAATGTCGTTATACATAAACGCTGGAGTTCCTATTCCCAGACTTGTGTCAGTAATTTCTACGCATTCGACAGGATCTTAATAGATTCATGAATTTTTTATAATAATTTTCTTTAAATCTTTTTAAATTGAAGCGCTTGAACTGCTTGAATCTATGTTCAAGTATAAATGATCAACGCATTTCGTTTCCTTATAAGGCATATTATCATTCGTAATGAAAAATTTTTTACTTACTTCCATTATTCTGTGCCTTTGGTATTGGCACCCATGGATATTGTTGTCTACGTGGATCCGATTGATTTTGAAAATATGCAAAATCACAACTTATATCAGGTGTCCAAGTACAATAAACTTCAGAAGTTCGAGAAGTCTCGTTAAGTTTATAATGCATTCCAATAAACAGATTTTGAGCAGATGTATCAGCGGCCAGACTATACATGTACTCATTCTCCTCTCTGCTGTGAATATCAACAATTTCACTGTTAATATCTAGACACAGCCTTCTTGCCTATAATTTAATTTTATTAGACGTTTCTTTATACAATAAATATTTTTTTAATTCAAAAAACATTAAAAAACACGGACCTCAAAATAGCTGACGTTATTTTTCAACACCACTTGATACCCATACTCGGTTCCATTCGAGTCCGTAAACGATGACCAGCCTGCAGGGCAATCTCCATTCACATAAACAAAGTGAATACATTGAAGTAAAAAGACTAGAGTCAACAGATTTAAAAAAGAAACGGAAAGTTTCATTTCAAAGTAGAGTTTTTATTTTAAATTTATCCAGTTAAGTTATAGAATTATTTGAAGGGGGAATGAAGTAATGAATGATTTTAGAGAATGATATGGATGGGGGAATGCTTACTGCTTTTATATGGAGTTGGGTAAAAATTTTTCCAGACAAATTTTCAAAGCCAAATATGGTTAAGGTAAGAGATATTTTATTATAATTTTCTCTAATTCTATGGGTTTTACTTAAAAAAATTTGCTTAGTTGGAAAAATTAACGCTTAAAATTTACCCACGTATTAAAATTTTCCAATTTATTTTTTATTTGGCAATTTAAATAAAAATTTTTTAAATCGCATGACTTTTTGTCTTTAGCGTGAAGGGGCTTTAGAAAATTTTAAATTTATTGCGGATGATTTTTAAATAATTTTATTCAATAATTTTATTCATGCTATAAATTAAAGGCTTTTAGAATTTGAATATGTTGGTAAATGAAAATTACATCTATTTTTGGTTTTTACTAAATATATAAAAATATACATACTATAAACCATAAGCTCTTATATTGACCATGTTTCTACCTTTCAGTCGGATTTTCTTTGTACCTACACACATGGAAATGAAAAAGTACGTAAAATTGTGGAAAAGTACGAAAAAGTACGTTAAATACGTAAAATTGAGGTCAGCTCATACAACAGAGGCCAATAAGCCTAAAAATTTGTACCTATAATAATGAGTAAATAATCATTGTTTACACGTGAAAGCCTCATCCTCATTGTTGAGTTTCTATTAGGGATGGTTTTCTATTAGGACATTTACGGTAATTATTATCCAGTCTCTTCATCGTTTAGACTAAGGGTATCATTTAATCAAAATAACATCTTAAAACTACGGAAAAACAATCAAAAGATAATTCATACCATCGTACCATTAATTCTCTTTTTTCAAATTTAATAAATTCCATTAATAAAAAAATAAATTTTAGTCCGCAAATTTAATCCGCATTTTTTAAATTTGCCATTTTTCTACTTCCAACGCAATTTAAAATTAAGAGAGGTGTATATCCATTCCAGTTAATCAAACATTTAAATTTTATTTTATTTACACGTGAAAGCCATGGAATTTAAAAAAAATGCTTATAGAGAGAAATTTAAAACAAAATCGTCGATTCTTTTATGTCTATTATACCAAATTAAATAATTTTATTTGGTAATTTTTTAAAATTTTATTTCCTGGTTTATATTGGAATCAATACTGCGGTATCCTTAACATCTCCCATAAATTAATTTAATATCCAAACTAATTTCAAGTACCGTTCATTTTCTTAATTTTTTCGGTTCTATCTTAAAGGAGGTACGGAATCATGTTTTTTCCTTCCTTACACTAGTCAGCTTAAACTATTCACCTTCAATTTTTCCTTTATATGAGAAAATTATCAGTATTTACCTCACTCTTAATTTTACTTGAGGTACATTCAAATGTTAGACTTTAATAAGGAAAGGTTATTTTTTCTCAATCCAATCGTCTGGACAAAATAGACAAGAGACGGAACGACAAAAAAGGTCGGACAAGTCAAGGTCTTAACAAATCCCTTGATTTGTCCGACCATTCGGACCGATTTTGGTCATTCCGTGTTATGGTCGTTCCGTGATTTTGTAAGACGGGTCTAAACGAAATTATGAAGCCGAATACTTTTTAGAAAACTTTGTGAGTACATAGATGCAAGGGTATAAAACAAAAGATCCTAACTTTGTTCGATTTTTAGCATCATTGACACGGCACGACGAGCTGTATCATAGGATATACTTAACAAATCCATTTGAGTATTTACCTCGCCCTTAATAATATAAATTGTCATAAACATATAAATTGTCATAAAAACTTAGTAAAGAAAAAGGGGCGACTTAAATGTATTACCAAAAAATTTAAGTTATTTCCTAAAATCAATTAATAACATTCATAAATAAAAAAATTAACAATTTTTTTATTATGCTAAACCTAAAATATATTTTAAAAATTAAAACAATATTTTTCTAAAAAATTTATTAACACAATAATAAGAAAATTATAATAAAATTAAAATGCCATAGTTTAATTTCGTTTAATTTCTACAATATTCCTCTTGCATAAAATTGAGAATTTAATATTTGGATTGAATTTGTTGGAAAGTTGGTATTTTGTTGCTAAATAACCCTCGCTTAAATGTTCTTCAATCTTTTCAGCTCTTCCATTCAAACCAGTAAAAGGAATATTTAAATTATTTAATTCAATATTAGCCACCATTTTTGAACATTCATTTGACGTTTCAATAAACTATTATTGCAAGAAAAAATTAAAATATTCAAAAATAAATTTTATTTTGAAAGAGATCGGTCTGGAACTGGATCCATTCTGGATTTTTCCTAGATCCAGAGTCGACTAAAATATACTGCTTTTTGGTCAGAACGGTTCAGTCTTCATTTTATTTAACTCGGTTCAGTCTCAATGAGAGGATATAGAGGGATAAGAAGTGCGAGATTAAGAACGATATCAGAGGATTTGTGAGGTTCAAGAGAATATAAGGGATTAAAAGGATTTCATGGAGACATTGATGGATTTTGGATTTTTAAAAATATTGATCTCTAGTTTTAAGGGCACCGGACAATGCGTAAAATACATCAGAAGACAATAAGTGAGTGATAATATATGTAGTGATAAAAGTAATGAAATAAAGAGATAAAAAGCCACTGCTGTCCCTCCAAATCGGCTGATCTCAATCTTAATACAACTAAATAACTTAACATAGTTGTTAATTTTCCCAAACCTGATATATCGGTCTTAATCCAAACAAATCCCTTTATATCTCTTTAAATCCCCCCAAAATACTTTTTAAATAGTCCTAATCTATATGTCCAATCTTTAATTTTTTTATATCATTTTTTATCTATTTATATCATCGCTGACCAAAAAATAATTTAAAAGTAACCAGAAACTCACAGTTAAAACAAGTTCAAAAAGTTTTTGTAAGGCATTAAACCTTAAATTGACTTCGTTAAAATTGTTTCCACTCGTTAAAATTTTAAATAAATTATCTGCATATTCTGTATCATCTTCAAGATCCCAAAAATCAATTATAAGAGATTCAGTAATAATCAAATGATTCAATATTGAATTTAAACAATTTTCAGTATTGTACCAAATATTAATGCAAGAGGATCGAATATAAAATTGTTTAGGAATTCTTCCAAATAATAATTCGATCAATTCAGGGTTGAATAAAAATGTATGAAAGTCTCCAATATCAAAATAACAATTAAATAATTTATTCAAATAATAATAAACAATTTTGAAATCTTCCTTATTTTCAATAATTGTTGGTAGTTGTAAGATAACAAGATGGTATTTATCGACGTAAACTAAAAAAATTTTTTTTAATTAAGAGAACATGTTAACATTATAGCCAAGCTTAACAGAAAAGTTAAGCTTTAAATTTGCCCGCATCCTGCCGTTATTTTAGCATTTGTGTATGTGGTTTTACTATAAGACGTCGGCTTATTAGTAGAGTTGCACCCTGACCCCTATCCCCGAAGGATTTTTTCAGATTTTCCCGACCTGAACCGAAAAAAATCCATTTAGACCCAGTACCCCGACATATTTTGCTTCCCAGACCCGAAACAATTCAAAAACTACGTACCCCGACACACCCGACTTTCGTGGTGCAACCTTAATTATTACTACAAAAGCAAGTGTTAGCGTCAAACTAATTGGATCATACTAGCACGGGGGATGCCTACCCCTTTCGTTCGAACCAGAGGTAAGTCGGTACAGTCAGAGGTGTCGGAAATCGGAACTGGCTCGAAAGTCGGAACTCGGAAATCAATTTTTTTCGGAAATCGGAAAAAACGTTGGAAATCGGAATTCCGACACACCTCTGTTTCGACCCATACTTCTTATCATAAATACTTTCTACCTCGAAAAAGGTATTATTAAACAAAATTTGACCTTTTTTTAAACTAATAATAAGTTCTTCATTGTCTGATTCTTCATCAGATAAATACAAATGAATTGGTTTTTCTAGTCCATTCTCCAACTAAAAAAGGAAATTTAAACCTTAAATATTTGGGTGGGGGCTAACTCTAGGAATTCCAACTCACGGAACAGACAGGTCGCGGAACTAGTCAAGGAATTACCAAAATTCGGAATATTTTAAAAATAAAAAAATTGTTAGAAATCAGAATTTTTCAGATTTTTTGAATTCTGTTCTTTAGAATATTCAAATTTAAAAAAAAGTATTTTTCTTAAATATTCAAATTTTTCAAAATCCGTGAGTTGATCGTTCCATAATTTGGTAATTCTTTGACTTGTCGTTCCGTGAGTTAGCCCGACACAAACAATTCTAATCACCTTCTCTTCAAGTCGTTCATTCAACGGAAAGTCAAAATTTTCAAATTCTGGTTTAATTAATTTATAAGGATCGTCTTTGTATTGGTTGAGATATTCCTTAAAAGCTTTTTAAAAATTCAAATTTAATAAAAAGCATTACAATACAAATTTCATCATATTTCTCTCGAGCAAATTCTTCTTCATACTTATCAATAAATTCACGAAAATATAAATTTGTTTGTTTGACTGAATATAATTCTTCATAATTGAGATATTTAAAAATATCAAGTTGAACTTCAATTGGCAAAGAAATCATTTTTTGAAAATTTATTTAAGTACTAAAGATCGATTAGAAAAATAAGTAAAATCATACATGTATTAAATAAAAAGTGATTTAAAATATTTAAAAAGTGACTGGTTTAACTCGCAAAAAATAAAATGAAGATATTTAAACTTTATACATAAAACAAAAACATTTAATCAATAGTTAAAGAAAAAGAACAATTTGAGTAACACTAGAAAAATAAAATACGTACTCTCGGCTTTAAGTATATTTTGCTTGAAATTTTTAAAAAAGTACATAATAAAATTTAAATAAAATAAAATTTAATAATAAAATTTAATAATATACAATTCTGGCCGAAAAAATATTTTTATCTATAATTTATATTAATTTTTACGAAATAATTTTAAATTTTTTTAAAATTATTTAAAAATTCAAATACGTAAATGAAACTTTGAATTTAAATCAGGGCTTCGATTTCTGCGGATTTTTCCTCATTTTGTGGTTTTTTGATAGGGCGATGAGGATTATTTTTAAAAATGCGGATTTGCGGATTTTTGTGGTCTTTTGAAGATTAAGAGGATTTTTTGTATTTTCTTGTAGTTTTTAGGATAAAATGTCATTTTTTGTCTTCACGGCCTTCCAAAATCCGCAAAATTTTCGCCTGCGGCGCTGAAAATGTATGAAATCTAGTTTGTTGAGCTCCAAAATTAAAAAAAATTTCGCCTGCGGCGCTGAAAATAAAAATTTTTGCCGCCGAAGGCGCCAAAAATTTGGCATAGAAAAAGTTTCCCTCTTTGCCATCCCCCATCCCCCGAAAAAAATTCTGGCTACGGGTCTGGCTCAAGTCAACATAATTTTTCCTTTAATTGTTCGAATTTTAATAAAATAGTCATTAGTAGGAAAAAAATTGCATAATTCAATTGTTGGCGTCAAAAAATATGACGTATAAAGTGATTTTAATTCAACTTTTGTGTTTGATAATTTTTTGCGGATATTTCATATCAAATGCGGATTTTTTCGATCAAAATTGCGGATTTTTAAAAATTCGAGATCGAAGCCCTGATTTAAATATATAAAAAATAGCTAAAAGCAAAATTTTTCTTTAAAATTTGAATATTTTCATAAAAATTAATTAATATATATGCTAAATTCAGCATTTTATGAGGATTAAATATAAGAAATACTAACCAAGAATCAAGCTGAGCTTGTTTTCTGGGCTATTAATTTTAACATAATAGTTAATTAAATTTAGCTTAAATATAAAATAAAAGTAATTAAATTAAAATATCTAAAATATATAACAATTTTTAATTTAAATAAGACGGTGGTGGTGGAGGAAAAACGAGGAGATTGAGAAGAGTCAGAGGTGGAAGTTGTGGTGATGGTGGAGGAGGAGAAAGAAGATGAAGAGGAGATGGAAGTTGTGGTGATGGAGGAGACGGAGGAGGAGGAAAGAAATGAAGAAAAGGTGGAAGTTGTGGTGGTATAGGAGGAGGAGGAATGAGATTAAGAAGAATTTTAAGTTGTGGTGGTGGAGGAGGTGGAGGAATTTTAGGGATGGGAATATTTGGAGTTGAGGGTGGGAAAAAGTGGGGAGAGGATTGTGGGGAAGTAAATGGGGATGGGGAACGCGAAATTAAATATTTATTTTTCTCAAAATCATCAATGAGTTTCTTCTTGCAAATTCTGCATTTAGATCCCATAAATGTCCAGGATGTAGATGAGTTCTGTCGGGCCCATCATTTAAAAATTCGTCAAGCGGAGACAATAATTTAAAGGAAACAAAATGATAAAACATCATGGAGAATTTTATATGAGAAATGAGATTGATTAAAGAGCCCGACGAGCGGAGTCGAAAATACCAAAATAATTTTATGAACAAAGTTAGACAAACTGAATTTTCGCAGGAAAAACAGTTTTGTGCTGACACGCGCTAAGTGGCTTCGATGGCGGAGACTTTAACTTCGTCCGTAACGGCAGAAAATATTTCTGCGTAGGCCAGATAAAAGTGGTTAACATAAACATTAATAACATTATCAAAAAAGTCAAATTTTTTGATTTTATTATTTGTAATGTATATTCGAAATTTTCACCCACAAAAATGTGCTTGGTACCCCCTTTTGTTACTTGAAATTTAAGGTACAGTATTTCGGCTCGAAGTTAAGTTCACGGGCTAATTTTTCTTTCGACTCAGCTCGACGAGCTCTTTTGAATGACATATAAATCATCAATATTAAGCTCGGACCCATACAACGAACTTTAGCCAATTTTAAGAAGTTTTGAAATTTAAACCCAAAAAAACTTGTGGAATGTACGCAGGTTTTTGCTGACAATATTTTTTAATATGTTTTTTTTCAGAAATTAAAAAAGAAACCCGAATAGCTTCTGAAGCACTGCCAGAAAACCAAATACGGTTAGTATCACAAGTTATTTTATCACGTCTTTCGATGAATTGAGCAATGTGTTTTCGGATAAGTTCGATTCCGTTTCTTTGAGTGTAGGCACCTTTAAAAATTGAAAAATTAAATTTTTCAAAGAAAATTTGTTACTTGTGTGTTATCACAATTGTACAAAAAAAAATTTTTTTTCCCTGGAAAATTAATTTTTTTACTAAATTAACTGACAAAATAATCACGTTATGACTGATTGTATCCACGGTAAGAACACGATTTCTCGATATTTTGGACCGCTAGTAGACATATTGCGTTTAATTAAATAAAAATTGATTAAGTCTAAAAATAGAAATTAGTTCGATATTCTCAATTATTGAACGAAAAAATTAAAATAAACAAAATTAGAGAAAATTACGAAAAATGTTATATGACTAAGGCGCGGAAAATAAAATTTGCGGACATTTGCGGAATATCCGCAAATGGGCGCGGACAATTTGGTATATGTTATACATTAATCTAGTAAAAACTGTGAAATAGGCGCCTAAAATAGGCACCAAAAGCCAAAAAAGGCACAAAAATAGGCATGAGACTATTTTGAAAAGTTAAAATTGGTCTAAATACAAACGATCGTTAAGTTAATATTTTATATTGATAAAGTCCATCCTTTCCCCAGAAGAGTTTCAAGTTAATAAAAAGTTCAAATCAAATCAAATTTATACGCATCAGCGCGACGATTTCAGACAATAATATTATGATAAAGCAAATAAAATAAACGAAATAAACGTAAACAAACGAGTTCCTTAACATAATTTAAAAATTGTAAAAGTGTCTTTTAAGGTGATTTGGGAGTGAGTCAATAAATTGGGATATATCGAAAGTGACTAGGAGTCGACTAAAGTGATCGGGAGTTGAATTGCGCATATGTTGAGGAATAAATTTATATAACCGAGCGGTCCTAACGAAAAAGGAGTGGAATCTGGCTTTTGTGTTACATGCTATAGGTAGAATGTTTTGGAATCCCCTGGTATTAGCTTTATTTATAAAATACGAATTATTGTTTTTGATTGATATAGTCCCACAGACATGTTGATGGAATAAATTTAGATCGGCTTTAATTCTTCTATACAATAGGGATTCTTGTTTAAAATAATTTAGTAAATAAGGATAGTCAGGTAATTCGGTTTTGGGGTTAATACGTCTAAATACCCAACGGAGAAAATCCTTTTGAACTTTTTCAATTGATTTAATGTCTTTCTCAAGATGTGGATTAAATACGGGGGAAGAAAATTCTAAAATAGGACGGACATAAATATTGAAAAGATTTGTGAGGATTTTAGGGTTCTTACTTTTAATTGATTTGAAAATAGAATATGAACATCTAATTGCTTTACGAGTGATTATATTGATATGTTTTTCCCATTTGAGGTCATAGGAGAAATATATGCCCAGATCACGAACTGAATCGTCAGAGGTCTGAGGGATAACAATATTATTAATGAAATATTTGGTTGATGGGTTAAAGTTCCCTAAATATAAAACGGAACATTTTTCTATAGCAATTTTAAGGCCGTTGAGATGACAATATTCTTCGAATTTATTTATGAAAATTTGAAGGGGAAATTCATTTGTTATGTTATTGAAAATATTATAAGCTTTTAGATCATCAGCGAAAAGTTTGATAGTTATTCCTTTTGTTGAACAATAATCTGGGAGATCAGATATAAAAGTAATAAATAATAAAGGACCTAAAATGGATCCTTGAGGGACACCGCTTGTGCAGTGTTTTTCCTCGGAGTATTGATTGGATACACGCACAGTAAATGTGCGATTTGTTAAGTAATCATTTATCCAGGAAAGAAGATTCCCTTGAATTCCCACTTTATAAAGTTTTGAAATTAGAAGTGAATGAGGAACTGTATCAAAGGCCTTAGCCAGATCAAAATAAATTATATCAACGGAATTTTTATTTTCCAAAGCAAATGTAAAATCGTCCATCACCTCAAGTAATTGGGTTGAGACTGAGTGAGATTTACGGAAACCATGTTGGCATGCTGGTAGAATTTTATGGGATTCGATAAATAATTGAAGTTCATTTGAGATTATTTTTTCAAGTATTTTTGATGAAGAACAGAGAAGGGAAATTGGTCGAAAATCTATTGGATATTGTGGATTTGTTTTCTTTGGGATTGGATTTATAATAGCTTTTTTCCAAATTGATGGTATTTTAGAGCTAAGAATTGACAGTGAGAAAATATGAGCAAGAGGGATAACAAGTGCATCTCTACATTTTTTGTAGAAAATGTTTGGAACACAATCAGGAGATGTGTTATTGGAATTGTCGAGCTTAGATATTGTATCGAAGACTATTTGTGGGTCGATGGAAATTGTTTTGATAGTTGGTATTTGAGGATGGCGTGAGAGAGAAAAGGGTTGAGAAGAAAGATTTTGATTGGAAAAGACGGATACGAATTGATCGGCCAAAATATCTGATTTAATTTGGTTTGAGAAAATGAGTTGATTATTTTGGCCGATGAGGGAAGGCATGTTTGGATTTTTGGGTTTTATGAATGATGAAATGTAATCAAATTTTGTTTTGATATTACTGAGTTTTTTGTTTTCCCTATTTCTTATAAATTTGGAGATTTCATATTCAAGTTTATTAGAAGTTTCTATAAATTTTTTCTTAATATGGGGTTTGGAGATCCCTTTCCATAAATTTTTGCGATATTGGTGAAGTCGTTGGATATGAGCTGGAAAGTGTTCATAAGAATCTGATTTGTTTGATAGGGGTACACATGATCGGATAATAGTGTGAAGAAATGATAGACTTCAATTTTAGAATTTAACCAAGTTTCGGAAAAAGCCAAGATATGAAATTTATTAGACATCAACACCATACGCAATTCGTTGAGTTTATTGAGAAGACTCCTAGTGTTACAAAAGAAAATTTTTAAAAAATTAAAAGACCTCAAAAGTTTTTTTGTTTACGTATCGAAACCTGTGGGTTTGGTAAGTTCTTTTCAGCTTCCTTCATTTTCTTGTTCATCTCCCTCTGTTCTCTGTCCTTTTCCAACTGTTCACGTGTCAAAGACGGCCTGATCAAGAGACGGTTAAAAATTGGAATTGTTCGGATTTCAGGACGTTTGAACTTCCACTGCCGAAGAGCAAAACGCTGTAAAGAAGAAGCGGGGAGAACGCACTTGAGTAAACGCGGCCCACCTGATGGGGTTGGGATTTTGCCAAGGCGGTAAACAACCGCTTCAGTTTCGACTCCCAACCGGTCGAACAGTTTTTCCACAGTTTCACGATCAAATTTGTTTTTTGCTGTTGCCGTTGTTTCATTATTTTCCGGGACACCGATCAATACTAAGAAACGCTGGCGCTCCATAGCATGAGCCGGGTCTTCGTTGTTGTCGTTGTTTGTGTTGTTGTTGTTTAAAATTAAATTTTCCAAATTACCCAATTTTTCTTCCAATTCAACCATTTTTGTCAAAACTGCTGAAACATCAATCGATGATGTTGTTGTTGTTTGCTGCTGTTCTTGTGCTTTTTCAATTTTTGAAATTCGTTGTTCAATAGAAATTAATTTATTTAAAATTTGTTGCATTTCATTTTTATTCGCCATTGTGGCGTTTCCAATTAATCAATAATCTGAAATCTTAAACTTGGGTAATTAAACCTTAAACCTACTTAAGTTAAACCTACTTAATCAAATGAAAATAAACAAAATTAAAGAAAATGTTATATGCATGACTTGAAAGAAAGACACAGAAATAAATTAGCGTTTAACACAGAAATAAATAATATTATACAACAATAAATCAATGTTTTTTACTTCTTTTTTCATTTCCGAAGGCAAAAAATAATTTGGTATTACAAAATTAATCTTCTCTCCTCTTTGAACATGACATAGAGAAAAATGAAGGGTAAAATCTGATCTTTATTTATAATTTAAAAGAAGGAAAAAATAAGGGAAAAAGGGGGACAGGTTATCAATAAGTATCAGAAGGGAAAACTGATTTCGGGTTTGGCTACTCTCTCCAGTTTTCGATTTCGATTGACCCACGATTTTCGTTTTTTATTCCGAATATCCCATTCATATTTTATCCAATTAATATGCTGCAATGAATTAGCGCCGCAGTGAGAATTTTAAGAATTTTAGAAGGCATGTAGCCAGATCAGTGCTTGTTCGTAGGCATTTATTGGCTCAGGCTTTGGGGTTTTCAACTGCTTGGCGCCGGCTCGTTTTTTAATCCTATTCATTTAGCTATTCTTTTCAGCAGATTAAAATTTTCCCTTAAGGTTTATCT